AAAATGGAGGTTGACACAAAATTATCTTTCAAGGGAGATAATGTTACTCAGTTGGTGAAACGTCTGTAAGTGTTGGGTTAAACTTAAGATAGACCTCAAAATAACCACACTTACTAAAAACTTCACCGCTTTATAACCTTACCAGTACTCTGCCTAACGTGTAAGTACTGACGAACGAAATCAAAGTAAAAAGACTTGAGACGGGAAGTGTGTCTGGGACGATGTTACACAACTTTTCTGATGCTTCAACTGGTGGTAAGCTCGAAGAGTGCGCTGAATGAAAGCACAACGACTAGGACGTACAGGCGAGTTGCAAGTCAAAAGATGAAGTTGCGTCAAAAGTGGGTGAGTGCGTTGAAACAAAAGTTCAAAGGTTCAGGTTACACTGCACGTCGTTTGGAGAAAGCCAGCAGACGAATCTATTATGCAGCCTGTATTTTCCTCATAAATACAACATAGGCGATAGTGCAAGCAACACCTAAAGATAAGACATCAATCCTCGCCACATCAAAATGTCTATATCAATTTACATGTGTTTGTGGATTCAAATATATTGGTTGTACGGAAAGATGGCTGTTGGTCAGTGTTGCTGAACACTATGTCAAACGCCTTTCTAGTCCTCATGGTGGCATCCCTATGGAGTTTAATCACACGACATTTATTGAACTGTGATGATACGATGACAGTGAGTGACACCTTTATATTTATTAATCAGCAGGTTAATGAAAAAGTCCTTGGTTTTGCTGAAGCCTGCTCAGTTAAGTTAAAGAAGCCGGATCTCTGTACACAAAAGGAGATAGTAGTTAAATTAAATGAACCTTGGTGGCATATTTTAATTTTACCTTTAAAATTTTCCTTCACTTCCCTGTTGTCTTTAGAATTATTTGCCCATTATTATTATTATTATTATACATTTAGACAAAGCAATTAGAAGACGTAATTTGCCTGAATCGTGTACTGTTGTATTTGCGAAACACATTTTGAACAATCTGATCATACACAACACACTTGTCATAGGAATTAATATATATGAAATTAATAAAGAGTTAACAGGTGAGGAAATAGACAGATTAGGTCAAGTTAAAAGGACATATTGAAGGTCAAGATAACAATGAAGATCACTAAACCAAATAAGAGAGGTAATAGTACATCTACCCTAGTTGGTATCAAAACAAAGTTTACCAAGGAAGGTAGGTTTAGTGTGATGACGAATTGTTGCTTTGAACGCATAACGGTGGTTTAAACATCCTAATCGCCGGCTAGGACTTCCACAATCCTTAGGATACGCCCTCCCCCTCACACGATTTATAGATAGGTTTAAACGATGTGTAAACATCAATTTTATGTCTTGTCTCTATAATATGTTTCTCAGTAGAGGTGCTAGGTCTCCTCTTCTCACCATTGACCAGGAGCTTTATGGTTATGAATAAGCAAAGTAATAAAAAATATTCTTGGTTTTCCTGAAGCCTACTCAATGCGATTAAATAAGCCGGATCTATGTAATACAAAACGAGACAGTAGTTAATTGAATTTTTAAATTTTCCCGTCGATTGATTGGACCGAAGTGCTCGGTCTCAGGTTGACATGTCGGCTTCTTGTGCAAATGCTTCGACGATGTCTGGGCATTTGATTAGTATTTAATTAGTGGATGGTGACTAGCAGTGGAATCCAGGATACGCATTTCGTCCTATTTTGAACTCGTCATCCGAGCACTCAGGTCCAATCAATCGACGGGAAAATCTAAAATTCAATTAAATCAAAATGACCCGTTGCACAAGAGGTGGCTCTCGTGGCCCAAGTGGTCTAGTGGATAATGCTTTGACGTTTGAAACTATAGGCACTGGGTTCGAGCCTCGTGGGAACATCATCACTCACTGAGGAATGCAGGTACATCCAGAAGACGAGTCTCAAATAGGACGAAATGCGCATCCTGGATTCCAATGCTAGTCACCATCCATCAATTAGAGACAATAGTTAACTTAAATCCACCTTGTTGGCATATTTTAATTAAGCCATTATAATTTTCCTTCACTTCACTCTTCCCTTCAGAATGTTTTTCCATTACGATTATTTTTAGTTTATCTGACATATTGTTGATTTTCTCAGGATATGTGCAAATCGGAAAATCATAGTTGAGTATTAATTAATCTTGTTGATGTGTGTTCAACCTATCTCATGAGTTTAGATCAAATATAAGAATCAGACATGTTTATTCTTGTTACTTAGTCCCATATGGTTTACATATGTCAAATTTATTTATTTGAATTTACGAAGGTTCTTTGCATTTCAAGATTTTATCATCATCATATCCAGATGTTTCCAATTGTAATAAGTCTACCACAATAACTCCAGCTGTATATGTCAATATGTTCTTTGATGAATATTATTCACTTAATAATGATGTTAACAGATTATCACTCATCTATCGCTTGTCCATCGTAAATTTGATCAAATCGATACTTATGTGTTGTCACCCTGTTCGTGTATTTGTATGCATTTACCCTTAACAAATAACAATTACAAGAATGTGGCTAACAGAGCTAGACGTCTAGTTACTGAGGAGGAAGAGATTAATAGTAGGGAATTGAAATTGGTTCAATCCACTCTTCAATCAAATAATTATCCTAAAGCCTTCAGAAAATTATATTTTAAATGTGAAGATAAGGAAGGATGGATCGAAACCTGTTGGTAAGATGTGGGTTTGTACAGTGGTGATTCATAACCGCACAGAAACATCGGATGAGATAAAGCGAATCCTTAAAGATCATGACATATAGTGTATTTTCGTGCAACGGACACTTCACGTTCATCAATGGGGAAGGTTAAGTATAGGTCAATTGTGGGGACTGTGACGCCGTATAATTTGCAGAAACTTCCAGACAGGTAAATGTAAGATTGGAAGAGAATAATCAATGTCTAATGTTGGTTCGAAAGACACCTTTAGACTTGAAGAAGCTAGAAAACAGATCAGCGATTGCACTGCATTCGATAGAAACGGGACACAAAATCGACTTTGATAGGACTAAGGTTCTACAGAGAGGTTTTGGTTCATATAAAGAAAGCTGACTGACTGCAGAAGCCCTACATATATGGGTGAATCCCAACAGTCTCAGCATACGTGTATATACATCTCTAATCAGTCATACTTGGTCTAAATTCCCGACTGTCTGTGTCTTCTTATGGAGGGGCTAACAAATGTTTTGCAACTATTCACCCATACACATACGCGTTCACGGAGGCACACACTATTGTATACTGCATATACACATATATTTCCATATTCAGTTATCTACGACCATGAACTTTTAATGGAACGTGATCACTAAAATTCTGATGAAAAGTACACTCTGTTCAAATTGATTAACAAAAGTAGACTAATATTTGAATGTGTGAGGTCAAATTTTGATCACAGTTCATGCAGTTTTGCTTGTTTATTATACATGTTGATACCTGTTTCATCACTCAAATGATTGAACAAAGTTGTTTTTTTGAAATCAGGAGATGTCCTTTTTATACATAAACCTCTGTTATGTTAATTTCGATTAATTTCCCTGAAGAAGTTCGGACGAGTTTCCCGAACGCAGGAAACGTTGGAATTACTCATTCCAATTTCGTTGAGATTTTACAATTATAATTTTCACCAATGTCTACTTCTCACTCGGCGCCCAATTATTTTGGAAGTATTCGATCAAATCTTGATCACAGTTCATATGAATTGTACAAATGACAGTGTTTATAGAGGAGTATTCAACTGATGAGTCCTTCTACTGGAATTCATGAATTCATTAAATACTGCTTCTTTTCCCACAGTTGTTACTTGTTTTAAATATACTATGAGAGAGAGAGAAATGTTTTCAATTTATGGTTATTGGATCAGAACATGTAGCCTAACATAAACATGTGACAACTTGCATAGATTTTATTCCTTAAAAGGTTGTTTGTTTAGTGGGCGTAAACCTTTGCAACCTTAACTTCTTGTGTTAGTGGTGACTTTTGCACTTTCTCAAGAACACATACCGGATACATGCATAAAGGTTGCTTCTTTTTAATGTGTCTGATGTTTTGAAGAAAACTTTGATGTTGTGTTTATTGAGTACTCTTCTGTTATCGTCTGACCTTTCTCATATATATGGATTACCAACATTTTAGGTCCATGTTATCATCCACTGGGAAATACAAAAGCAATAGTAAGACGTAATATGTCTGCATTGTGTACTGTTGTACTTCCGAAACACATTTCGAACAATCTGATCACACACACGGACTTGTCATTGGACTATTTACATGTGTAATCAATAAATAGTTGAGAGGTGAGAAAAAAGACTTAGACCAGGTTAAAGGACATACTGAAAATCACCAAACTAAATAAGAGAGGTAATAGTACATCTTCCCTAGCTGGTATCAAAACAAAGTTTACCAAGGATGGCAGGTTTAGTGTGATGACGAATTGTTTCTTTGAACGCATAAAGGTGGTTAAAACTATCTAATTGCCAGCTAGGACTTCCACAATCCTTAGGATACGCTCTCTCAGACACGATTTATAAATAACTTTAAACGATGTGTAAATATCAATTTCATGTCTTGCCTCTATGATATGTTTCTCAATAGAGGTGCTAGGTCTCCTGTTCTCACCAATGATCAGGAGCTTTATGGTTATGAATAAGCAAAGTAATAAAAAATATGGTTGGTTTTTCTGAAGCCTACTCAATGCGATTAGATAAGCCGGATCTATGTAATACAAAAGGAGACAGTAGTTAATTGAATTTTTAGATTTCCCCGAGGATTGACTGGACCAGGGCTCTCGGTCTCAGGTTGACATGTCGGCTTCTTGTGCAAATGCTTCGACGATGTCTGGGAATTTGATTAGTATTTAATTAGTGGATGGTGACTAGCAGTGGAATCCAGGATACGCATTTCGTCCTGTTTTGAACTCGTCATCCGAGCACTTCGGTTAAATCAGTCGACGGGAAAATCTAAAATTCAATTAAATAATTAATATGACCTGTTGTAATTTTAATTGTAATATGACCTGTTGCACAAGAGGTGGCTCTCGTGGCCCAATTGGTCTAGTGGATAATGCTTTGATGTTTGAAACTATAGGCACTGGGTTCGAACCTCGTGGGAACATCATCACTCACTAAGGTATGCAGGTACATCCGGATGACGAGTCCCAAATAGGAGGAAATGCGCATCCTGGTGGATTCCACTGCTACTCACCCCCCATCAATTAGAGACAATAGTTAACTTAAATCCACCTTGTTGGCATATTTCAATTTAGTCTTTATAATTTTCCTTCGCTTCACTCTTCTCTTTAGAATATTTTCCCACTAGGATTATTTTTCGTTTATCTGACATGCTGTTCATTTTCTCAGGATATGTGCAAATCAGACAATCATAGTTGAGTATTAACTAATCTTGATGAGGAGTGTTTAAAATATCTCATGAGTTCAGATCAGACATGTTGATTCTTGTTACTTAGTCCCATATGGTTTACATATGTTAAATTTATTTGTTTGAATTAACGAGGGTTCTTTGTATTTCAAGATTATTATCATCATCATATCCAGATGTTCCCAATTGTATTAAGTCTACTCCAGCTAATATGCCAGTATGTTCTTTGATGAATAGTACTCACTTAATAATGATGTCAACAGAATCAAACAATTCCAACACTGGTGTGAACACGGGCAGTAATTTTGCTCGAAATATTACCAATAACAAAACTTATCATTGTGTGTAAACTATTAAAATATAATTATACTTTATTAGATTATCACTCATCTATCGTTTGTCCATCGTATATTTGACCAAATCGATACTTTTTTTTTCACCCTGTTCGTGTATTTGTATGTATTTACCCCCTAGAAAGAAGGTTGTACAAATAACAATTACAAGAATGTGATTAACAGAGCTAGACATCTAGTTACCGAGGCTGGAGAGATTAGTAGTAGGGAACTAAAATTCGTTCAATCCTCTCTTGAATCAAATAATTATCCCTAAGCCTTCATAAAAAGATTTTAAAATATAAAGATAAGGAAGGATGGATTGAAATCTGTTGCTAACAGTTGGGTTAGTGCAGTGGTGATTACTCACCTGAAAGAAACATCGGATGAGATCAAAGCGAATCATTAACGGTCATGACATAAGAGTGTGTGGAAGGTTAAGGATAAAATAGAAGAAGAGGAAGAAAAAGAAAAAGAAGAAGAAAACCAATAGAATTGTTTTTTTCAGATGAATGGTGGGGACTGTGACTCCATGTATATGGGAAAAACTACCAGACAGGTAAATATAAGAGTGAAAGAGCATAAACAATGTCTACAGGTGGTTCCAATGACCTCTGCACACTTGAAGAAGCTAGAAAACAACTCAGCGATTGCACTGGATTCGATAGAAACGTGACACAACATCGACTTTGATAGGACTAAGGTTCTACACAAAGGTTTTGGTTCATATAAAGAAAGACTGACTGACTGCAGAAGCCCTACATATATGGGTGAATTCCAACAGTTTGAACAGACGTGAAGGTGTGATGTTAGCTGATGCATGGCAAATCCTGATGAATAAATAAATGAAAAATGGATATGTATCACTAATTAATCATACTTGGTCTAAATTCCCGATTGTCTATGTCTTCTTAAAGAGAGGCTAACAAATGTTCTACAACTGTTTACCCATACACACACCATTGCATACTGCATATATACATATCTTTTCATATTCAGCTATCTACGACCATGAACATTTAATCGAACGTAATAACTGAAATTCTGATGAAAATTACACTCTGTTTGTAGTGTTTAACAAAGGTAGACTAATATTTGAAAATTTAAAAAAATTAGTTCCCTTTATGAATTTTGACAAAGCAATAAGACTCAGATTCAGATTCAGATGATAAGGATAGAAGGCTCTTGTGGCCTGTGTTAATCCTTGCAAAATATATCTCTGCAGAGATCTAACTTCTCTTTGAAAGCGTTCACCTATGGAGCTGATACTATTGAATCAGGTGGGGAGTTCCAGTCGTTGACCACTCTATGAGAGAATCTAAATTCTGCACGTATTTTAATCGTCCTCGGTTTGAGCACCTTTTTGCGGTGACCCCGTAAATGTATCCTAGAAGGGGAGAAAAGTTTAGAAAGGTCAGTTCCTAAATCACCCTAAATCATAGTATGCCAAAATTAAGTCGGCTCTCTTCCTTCGGTATGATAGCGGGGAGAGATTTAAATGCTCCATCCTCTTATCATAAGGAAGGTGTGAGATACCACTAACTAATTTCGTTCCTACCCTCTGTACTCTTTCCAGGATATGTGCCTCCTCTTTAAAGCATGGACTCGTCGCTTGTATGCAGTATTCTAGATGAGGCCTGATATATGTTGCGTAGAGTATTTGGAACATGCCCTCATCTAATCGTTTGAAAGCCCTTCAAAGTGACCGTAGCATTCGAAAAGCCTTAGCTGCGGCTGCATTGCAATTTGCAGTTGTTTTTTCAAATCATTACTGACAACGATGCCTAGGTCCTTCTGTTCGTTAACATCAGGTAGTTCTGTGTGCCCTAGGAAGTACGACGTATAACACTTCTGACCTAAGTGCATTACCGCGCTTTTCCTAGAATTCATTTCCAAACTTCACAGGTTCGACCACTCAGCTAATTTATCTAGATCAGTTTGTAGGGCTGCCCTATCCCCGTTATTATTTACAGTTTTCCAGATCTTAATGTCGTCCGCAAATAATAAGACGTAATTTTTCTTAATCGTGTACTGTTGTATTTGCGTCACACATTTCAAACAATCTGATCACACACACAGACTTATCATAGGAATGAATATATATGAAATTAATAAAGAGTTAAGAGGTGAGAAAATAGACAAATTAGGTCAAGTTAAAAGGACATATTGAAGGTCAAGATAACAATGAAGATCACTAAACCAAATAACAGAGGTAATAGTACATCTGCTATAGTATCCAAACAAAATTTACCAAATAATATAGTATAATTATTTTTCAACGGTTTACACACAATGATAAGTTTTGTTATTAGTAATATTTCCAGCAAAATTACTGCCCGTGTTCACACCACTGGTAGAATTGCTTTGTTTTTTAATTCACACATTTATGATCTGTACTCTTACATATAGTTCATTAGTGTTTGTTCATTCATGTTTTTGTATTCAGAATGAATATAGATTCTGCTATAAGTCTCTCTTTCTAGTTGTTCACATTGTTCCAATCAATATTGTGATTTTGTCCCATGCTGCATGTGCAGCTATAAATGAATTTTCTTCTAAATTCTTGTTAGCTTGTCTCCCTGTTGGTTGACCTTTAGTTGGGCAGGCGTTTATATTCATTCACTGTTATTTTGAGTGATCTGAACGTTTGACCCACATATTTAGTCGGACACTCAGCACAAGATATTTTGTAAATCACATTGTTTTTATCCATCACTTTTATGGATCTTTCAGTTGATTTATCTTATGTCTAATTAGATTCGTCGGTTTGAACGTTGTGCGAATCCCGATATTTTTGAGGTTTCTTCGAATTGCCTCTGATGTACCATTTTTGTAAAGTATTGTGACTGTTATTTGCCTTCCTCCTTCTTGTCATTCTCTGGCTTTACCCTCTTTTTGATATTATCTCTGATGAATTTTTCGGGTAGCTGTTGTCGAGTAACATTTTGAATAGGACGTTTATTTCTTTACGCTGGTCCTCTGGTGTTGTTGTAAGTTTACGTATTATGTCTGCAAGACTTTGTATTAATCCTCGTTTTACCGTGAGTGGATGAGATGAGTGATAATCAAGGAATCTTCCAGAATGTATAGTTTTTCTACATCTAGTCAATTTTATGCTACCATCTGCTACTCTTTGTATTTTGTAGTCTAACATAGATAGTTCCCTAATTTCATTCATTTCCACAGTGAATTTTACTGTGTCGACATGGCTGTTTATGTGTGAGAAGAATTTCTCAACATCGCTCCTTTTCATTATTACTAACGTGTCATCTCCACATCTCCACCAACATTTTATCGATGACCTGAA